TTAAAAGTTTTTTATTTTTAATTATTTCTTTTATAAAGAACACTTAATTTTATCTGATAATATTATTAGTCTATGTTTTTTTTTTGAATATTTTTGACATGAAATGGATTTAAAATCCGTTCAAAGAAAGGACAATGCACATGTTCAATAATTAATGTCATTAGACCTCTAGGGCAGGTGGTAATATTATTAGTCTATCTTAATGTATTATTTTTAAGAAAAGTTTATATAACAAGTTATAACTTGCATTATGCTTAATTTAATTATTAATACAATTATATTTCTATAAAAAACCTAAAAAATAAAATTAATAAACTTAATAAAATAAATGGTACTCATAACATCATCCTTAAAAAAAAGAAAAAGAAAAAAGAGAAATCCAACCATCTCCTATTTATAACCCTCCATCAAATAAAAAAAAAAAAAGAAGGAAAAATCAGTCATTCACCAAACAAAAGTGGCTGTTTGCAATATGGTTTCATCCGTTGAGATTTTTATTTCCACGCAATGAGATTTTAATTATTCTATTTCTTGAATTGATCCAACTCCAAGTTCTAAAGCATCCTCAGATGAACTTTACCAAGAATGAGTTGGATGATGACCCCTTTTTTTGAGCGCAGGATATGTTCAGTCCATGCTATACTTACGTAGAATACATGGAAATGCACAGGTGAACGCTCAACATTGAACGTAAGAGGATATCAAGATTGAAGAAGTATACACCATACCCACGTGCTTGACAGAAAAAGAAATTATAACAGGTGGACACCAGATAACGTACCAAACTCTTTCTTATAATTGAGGTAACTAAGGAGTGGCGACAACTTTCAAATGCAGACAAGTCAATGAAGAAGTCGATAAGAGGCATTTATGGATACTGATGGCGACTGGTAAAATTTAAAAAACAATTTTTTGAGAAGTAGACTTTTATTTATATATCTAAAAATGGTGAAAGAGAATTTTAAAAACTAATTTTTTAAGTAACATTTAAGTAACTTTGAGAAAATTATATTTGAATTTTTTAAAATTTATTTAAAAATTATTATAAATAATAATTTTAAA